TGCCAAGTTGATGCTAGAATTCTTAAACTTCTCTTTCGTGTGCACAGAATAGTAAAGTTGGACTTGAGTGGAACTACAATGATGTCGTCACCGTTATTATTTGAACTGCTCGATGAAATGTCATCAACAGTTAGGGAACTCAATTTGAGTAACACACCCTTTAATATCCTGGACTTTTCTACTGTCCAGTCACTGAAATGCATGACGCACTTAGACATAAGTAACACACCTGTGGATGACAGTGCAATGTTTATGGCATCGCAGCATTTAGATTGTTTAGAATGCGTAAACATTTCTAACACTGTAATAAGTGAGCCTGCCTCGTTTGGAAACTTGAGAAGCCAACTTAAGGTATTACTGGCATATGACACGCCCCTTTCCGGGGGAAATCTCGTCGAGTTTAGGAGCTTTGAATCTTTACAAAAGCTTGATATTTCCAGACACCCAGGAAATATGTCTTGGCCTTCAGATGCTATAAATCTGCAAGAAATGTTTGCAGACCAGAAAATGATGCCTGACTTGGTCTACCTGGATGTTTCTGGTTTTCTTGATGTCAAAGAATGCGACAAGTCTTTACATTCATTCCTTAGTTACCACCCTAAACTCCAGTTTCTTGGGCTGTTTATGACAGAGTGGTCTTCACATGTAATTATAAAGAGTATATCTGCTTGTATTGAGGTAGGTCAGTTATCTATATGAGACCCTCCCACTGTCCAGGCTAGAAAAAGTGTTCTTCATAAATTAATAAATATATATTTTCAATTTAATTTTTTTAGTTTGCATTTTTCAAAATATGTCATAACTTTTTTCACTCTGAAAGAGCCCAGCCTCCACCCCAGATCACAAACCTAATAAACCTCGGAGATATAATTAAAAGTCCTTCCAGTAATAAGATCTTCAGGGTTTGCAATAATTCCCAATAAGAAGCTTTAACTTCAGGTTTTGCTCTGAGAGAAAGATACATATATTAATTTCTTAGAGATATAAGTGCTCTATTAGAGAGATTGTTTTGAATGTTATCCTATACATTAGTATCACCCAACTAGTGGACTAATGCAAATCCTGTATTTTAATTGCTATACTACTAGAGGACTATTAGTAATAGTCCTTGAGTAGCAAAATTGGCGCAATCAAGCGTGACACTTTCTTTCGTTTTATTCCCAAATAAATATTTCTTCAACTTACATTTGCTAACTTTATTATTGCCTTTTCTGTCTGACTAGTTGGGTGATACTAAAAGAATTAGACTCTTCGCCCTCAAGGGCCATGGGTCATTATAGCTCATTCGGCCTCACCTCATGGGCCATTGACCCGTAGCCCTTGTGGTCTATGTGTGTAATTGTTAATTAGTACAGTGTACTCAGAGACTTGTGATTTATTTGTCGTTTTCTGTCTTGTTAGTATGCTGTATTCTTGTAGGAAGGTAATTGTTTTCATTTGGAAAATTCCTGCCTTTCTCCCTTCTCCCCTTGCGCCTCAAAAAAATGCCCCTAACCCCAAAAATATAGGCTTTAACAAATACCAGCCATACTGAGGTAGGTAAAGTCTGCATATGAGCTAAGTGGCCCACCAGGCCGGAGCTTATCCCAGTTTCTGTAGCATGAAGCAACTAGGAGTATTTCTACTTCCCCTGGATGGGATTCTAGTCCATCGCACGGTTACCCCCAGCATTAAATTCGCCGGTACCCGTGTATACACCTGGGTGGAGAGAGGCACTGTGAGAGTTAAGTGTCTTGCCCAAGAACACAACACGATGTCCCCGGCCAGGACTTGAACCCAGACCGCTCGATCTGACAAGGAGCACACTAACCATGAGGCCACTGCGCCTCCCACCGTACTAAGTGCAGGACTTTTATTGGAGTTTATGGTGTGATCTCAGGTGACTGGTAATGCCAATGAACAGCAGATTCTTTCATCACTGCGAGCGTACTCAGACAGAGCATCCTACATGGTAGAGGCTCTACGTGGATTTTTCCACATCAGTAAGAACTGGACAGAAAGAAAACCAGAAGTTCTTCAGGTGAAAGAGATCAATAATAAGATTAATTGTATCTATAACAAAATTCTCAATCATGATTAGTTCTCTTAACAACTGTTTGTAATGGATACCTGAAATTGGATACCTATGCCATTGACACATCGATTACATGTGCTTTAATGGCTTACTTCGTAACATTTCTTACAGTTTTTAAAACTTATGGAAAGTGCTATTGGCTTTTCCCAGGAAAGAAATTCTCAAAATATTTTTTAACTCTCTAAATTTGTTATGGATACAATTATTAATAATTAGTAATTGGACCTCTTGTCATAAAATTCAGAGAGTAATCATACTCGTAATTTCAAATCGGCTTTGCACTGTACATATTCTTCTGATTTTGAAATTACTCACCCAATTACTCCCTGAATTGTATTCCACTCAGTCCAATGTATCACAACTGGCCTATGGAATAATGGAATGCTTGAATGGGTTCCTCTAGTCATGCATCTCAAATTTTTAATCAGCTGTTCTTCTACAGGATCGGTATCCACTTGCTCCTCTCATGGCTAGTAAAGCCATTAATCATATTGGTTTCAACATATTCTCGTTTGTGTTCCGTTCTCAATGTAGTCCAATTTCTGTTCATTTTACATAGCTTGTCCTGTCACCAATGGAAAAACATCCTGAAGATTTGCGCATTCAAATGGCTGCCACGTGAGTTCATCTAGATCTAATTCACTTATCGTCAAACTCATTAATTTGCTCGACACCTGTTTGTTTGCCATCCTGGTCACCCTCACTACCCTCACCACCCTGGCCACCCTTGCCACTGTCACGACCCTGGCCACCTTCCCTACCCTTACCACCGTCCCCACCCTTTCTACCCTGCCCCTCCTGGCCTACCCTGGCCACCCTCGAGTATTTTATGTGATTCATTTCCAGGTTAAAGTAATGCTCAACTGACTTTTTTTTTTATTCAGAGCTTGTGTATTTAACATTATCAGAGGAGGAGGAGCAACAGAGGAAGATATACATCCAACATATCTCAGGTAATAAGAGCCAGTAGATTTTATTTACTAACTTGATCAGGTTTATCTTACTTTATGAAAGTGGACCATCATGTCATTGGCTGGAATCCAGACATATTTAATCTCTACAGGGTTGAGTCATGGATATGGTGGCCCAATGGTTAGTGCTGGACTCCAGATCTAGCGGTCTGGCCTTGGGCACTCTCCACCCAGGTGTATGCAGAGCTATATATGTGTAATGGCAAATTTAGTACAGGGATAACCCTGTGATTGACTAGCAATCCATTCAGTGGAGAGGAGAAATACTCAAAGTTGCTTTTAAAATGCTACAGAACAGTAGCAGTTACTGTAGCTCCCATGGTGTTGACCACTTGACAGGCCTGATGCAGACTTTTGAACAATCTTATCTTACACCAAAGGTACATCATCTAGGGGAAGGTGTACCATTACACCGCTGGCAAATCTGCTGCAACTGAGACAAATTTAACCACTACTGATCTGATTTATTTTTGAAGCAGACACCTCTGATAAGAGGACATGTGCTCTTGATCCCAGTGACAAAGAAACTCTACATTTATCACCTTTCATATCTGACAGCACTCATAAGCAGCACTTAAAATTCTGGTAGATGTGTTAAATGTACATTTTTTATCATCTGTGTTTGTCATTCTTTTCCAGCAAAATTGCAGGGTTAGTTTTGACGGCAACAAGAAGATTTCCTGACAAACCTGATGTAAGAATTAAACGTATTTTTTTTCTCACATAATTTAGTTCCCATTTGATCTCGAGAAACAATTACTTTAAATTTATATAGACTTAGATTTTTGTAGGGTGACGAATTTTCAAACAAATTTGATTGTAAGGTATTATGCAACAGTTAGGGTCGCCAATAATTAGTGTACTCACTTTGCTCTCCTGGAGCCAATATATTTTATGAAATAGCATTCCATCCAAGGAGGAGTGGAAACACTCCCAGCTATGGAAATGGGAGGTAAATGGCAACCTAAACTACTACTAGGCTAAAGAAACCTCTCTACCTGTTAAAACATTTGCCTTTACTCCAGAGTAGATGAAGCTTTTGGACAGTTTTATTTCAAGGTAAATATAGAACTATGTTAACTTTGTCTTATGTTCACAGTGCGAAATGTCTCTGCCACTGTGTTATATGAGGATACTCGTTAAAGATAAGTTTGTTTGTTTTTCTCATGAAAGCTTCTGAGGAACTGCTTATTAATTTTGGACTCACGTCAAATCCTGAAAAAGGCGGTAAGTTAGACTTCACTGTTTGCGGTGTTTTCAAAGATCTTTCTTGAAAGTGTTTGATGAATGCCTGTGTCAAGTTATTTAGTTATAAAATTATTCTTTTTAATTTCAGACATTTAACTATTTTGAAGCATGCAGCCAGGCCATGGATGCACTGTGCCATTTTTCAAGTGATGACAATATTACTGCACTGGCCACGAAACTTTGTGCAATCCTCTCTTCAAAGGTAACTGTTATGCAAAGTATTATACACAATACTACTTCGATCTGTACTATTTCAAATGTATTTGCACTGACTGTCTGTATTATTTCACGGAAGGGCTGGTGATGTAATAGAAAGAATAGTAGTGTTCCAAAATTATAATAGTTTTCCATGACAAAATCATTAGAAATCAGCAGGTAAGCCTTGGAAGATCCAAAAATCCATGCTTTGCAAGTCTGTTGTAAATATGAAAGTTAATGCTAACTTAAGTTCTTATAAGCTTATGCATTTGCCAGATATTACCATTGTTCATGATGGCATTGCATGGTACACTAATTACCTTATGAAACTAGCCAAACAGAATGCAAGTTATAAACCTACTACAAACGCTAGCCCTTGATATTGAACTGGTGTTATGACCTGTTCAGCTGACACTTAAAATAACTTCTACTTTTATACTATACAGATTTCCACAGAAGAGACTCTTTCTCTTGGATCAGAGAGAAACATTGTGGTAAGGACTGTACTTAAGGCAGTTCAAAGCTAATTCTTAAAATTGTTATTGACCTAAGGTAGAAGCAAACAATTGAAAAGAACTGATCAATATGTGACTTGACAGCCAAATATTGAATATTCAACATTTGACCTAGGATGCCAAATATTGAAACTTCAAGATTTGACCTAGAATGCCAATACTGTAAATTCAAGATTTGACCTTCCATACCAAATATTGAAACTTCAACATTTGACCTGCCATGCCAAATATTGAAAATTCTAGATTTGACCTGTTCTGCCAAATGTTGAAAATTCAAGATTTGACCTGCCATGCCAAATGTTGAAAATTCAAGATTTGATCTGGCATGCCAAATATTGAAAATTCAAGATTTGACCTTCATTGCCAAGTATTGAAAATTCAAGATTTGACCATTTATGCCAAATATTGAAAATTCAAGATATGACCTGTTATGTCAAATATTGAAAATTCAAGATTTGACCTGTCATGCCAAATATTGAAAATTCAGGATTTGACCTTGGCATTAAGCATTAAGCAATTATTTTTATAATACGAAATTCAAAAACTTAGAGAACATTTGAAAGTCAACATAGATATTGTGCCTTTTATTATACATGATAAATTTGTTGCACCTGACATATTGCAGAAGCCTTTGTTTACCATTTGCATTTAATGTTTTGATTGCAGACTATGTTTAACATTGCTCAAGACAAGATAGCTGCTAATCAAGTAAGCCATACTAGCTTTCCTTGCTAACCTGTTTTCAATGAGCCGCAGTTCTTATTCTGTTTCAATTTAGCTAATAGTTTATTGACTATTTTTCAGGCAGATTTTACTTTAAGTGTCACCCTAAGCGTGCTATGGAACTTAACTGGTATGTAATGAGCATGACCTACAAAATTCCTTTAAGAATGAGTAGCCTTTCCCATAAATTTGAAGTTTTTATGGGTGGGCATATGAATAGGTATTTATAAACACTGTGAAAGAAGCTATCAGTATTACTTCAAAAGCAGCTACCTGTAATGCCTGAATGTAAGTAGCCAGCCACAGTGGTGACTTTTTTTTGCCACAACACTGTTACTTCTCTTGGAGGGATCATGCTGGTCCAACTGCCTTATTCAGTGCCCTCACCAAAAAGTTTTCATTAGTAGTGCAAAATAGTACAACAAACCAAATAAAACTCATACTTGCATATTGGTTGCACAAGTCGCAAATTAAATTGTTACTTTACACACTGTCACTGGTTTGTTGCCAAATACGTCAAGTGTTCAATTGACAGCTTCCTGATTTCTGTTGATTAGTATATGTTTAAAATCAATTCCAAATTAGGGTTGGAGTGCAATGTTGTAACTAACTTGTATTTTGTTACTGTCCTGAAAACAGATGAAGCACCAAGCACATGTCTTCTGTTTGTTCAGAAAGGAGGCCTGCAAATGATGGCACAAGCATTAAAGGTGTTGTGTTTTAAAATAACTACAATGCAGTTTACATTTTACATGAGTGTTATGCCAGAATACACTAGTACTGTCATTATCTCTCTTTGTGCTTGTAATATATATTTACCCCACAAGAAAGTTGTCTGCAATTCGATGCAAAAATTCAAATTGACAGTGTAGGTTCAGAGACATTTCTGATTGTTGCTCTTGTAATGAAGGATAATGCTGTT